GTATGTAATATCTATTGGGTGGTAACTGTGTGGCAGGTACTGCTAGTGGATTCTCTGTCTCAATCCTCACCCCTAGGCCATTGGGATCCAGAGCTTACACTCTTAACCACCTCCCTATATGCCTCCCTTTATGTTAACAGTTCACTCAGGGGAGCAGGGCCACCATGAGCATTACGGGAATGAGGGATTTATTACAGGAATAAGAGTTTACCCAAATGTGAGAGGAGCTGGGGAAGTCAAAGTGGGATAATCAGAGAGGAGCCACTAGTACATGGAGAACTAGCTAGTGTCTATGTGCCAGGCATGTCTGTCTGTCACAGCATCTGACTACGGGGCTTTCCCCAGAGGAGTGGCTGATGCTCCTGTTTTGGCTTCCAAATCTCACACCAGGGCCTCTTTTTGCTAACTCTAACTCAGAGCCTTGTTGGTAGGACATTCTGGAAACATACTTCCCAGCTTAATCAAATCAATTTAACACAATCAATTTAGTGAATTAGAAAACCTTTGAAGTAGATAAGATATAGCTGACCAAAAGTCCAAGCAACAGAAGAAAGTCTGGGTCACGTTTTTTGTGTGTTTATTTCCCATTTTTAATGACGGCATGGCATTTTATGTAATATGGGTCAGTATCTTATTTATCACTGTAGTATAACATCTACAAACACTTGAAAAATAGTAAGTCCTTCTGAGCTGCACTCCAAGGACTAAGGAGAATGTATAGTAGATGCTCAGCAAATATTGGATGAATGAATGCATGCCGAATGACTGGAGTTCCTGCAGCAACATCAACTCTTACTGGTAAACTACAGCAGAGATTAGTTTTGCCTGTTGTTTGTATAAATGGCATCATATAGTAAGCATTTCTTTCATTTAACATAGTACCTGTGAAATTCATCCAGGTTGTATTAAATATGTAGTAATTGTAGTTCATCCATTCTCATTGCTATATAGTATTTCACTATGCCACTATACCACAATTCATTCTACTATCAATGGACATTTGGCAGTTTCTAGATTTCAACGATAATGAATAGTGTCACAATGAACATTTCATGTCTTCTGGTAAACAAAAGTATGTAATTCTCTTGCATGTATACTTAGGAGTGGAACTGCTGTGTGGTAAGTTATTGTGTATGCTCAGCTTTAGTACATATTCCAAAAGAGTAGATGGTTCTACAGTGTTTGATTGTTCCAATTGACACCGCCCCCATCAGTGAGTGAGAGTTCTGATTGTCCCACATTCTTACCAACAGTTGATATTGTCAGCTTTTTTCATTTTACCCATTCTGTTGTGTGTAATGGTGCCCTACTGTAGTTTTAATTTACATTTTCCTGATGATTAATGAAGTTGAACATCTTGGCCATTTCAGTATCCTCTTTTGTGAAGGACCTGTTCAAGTCTTGTACCCATTTTTCTATTGGTTGTCTTTCATTTGTCTTGTTCTTTAAATATTCTGGATATTAGTCCTTAGTGAATATTTTCTCTCACTCTGTGGCTTGCTTCTAAAAGTGTTTTTCAATTTTTTTGATGTGTAAAGTAAGAAATCAAAATATCTTTCGCCTAAACTGTCTGTCAGTAATACTACTATTGTTAGTAATAATCTTTTTATCCCCCTTTATTTATTTATGCTTGTTCTATTATGTTATATTTTCTTGGTCCCAATTACAAATTCCCAGGAGAGAGAATTTGATTGGCCCAGCTGTGGACAGGGATCTAACCTAGGTTCAATCAGCTCTGGCCAAGGGAGAGGGTCTCATGGACAAACATACCTGTTGGGGCCCCACCTCTTATATGAGGAAGGACAATTAAGGGGATCATGATGAGCAAGGAAGTCATCCAAAAAGGTGGTGATCAGTTCCTCCCACAAGTGGTCAACAGGGCATTTTCATCATCCTGGTTCAGGTGCTGGCCAGAAGACAGAAAGTAATAGCATATTAGGAAGCAGAATTACCTCTGACTTATCTGGCAGAATGAGGCCACTTCCTGCTCCTCGGGGGTTGTCAGATACTCCTAGGTATATACGCAAGACAAATGCATACTTTT